TCGAGGCTCAATGGGACTAACCTGTGGAAATAAAGGTTGAGTGAATGTTTGAACTGACACAATTCATAGTTGATATTTTGAAATAGCCAGGTTTATGTTTTTTTCTGTAGATAATATTTATTTTATTTAGTAATTGTAGATCTTATAACCTACAATTTTGTACTAATTTGTATTGCCAGTACCTTCTAAGGAAATTGCACTTGATATACATACCGTAGTATATTTGATACTTTAAACATAGGTTTTTCATGTGCTGGTCCGTTATGGTGAAGAGAGAGCTGAGCTGTAAGGCAAAGCTCCTCTGGTCATGATCTCTGGGTAGAGACTGAAAGAATGAGATTGTGGATCCAGGAGGTTGAAATGAGTTTCCTCTGCAGGGTAGCTGGACTCTCCCTCAGAGACAGGGTGAGAAGTTCAGTTATCAGGAGAGACTTGGAGTAGAACCACTGCTCCTCCACATCCAGAGGAGACAGTTGAGGTGGTTCATCTGGTAAGGATGCTTCCTGGGCACCTTCGTAGGGAGGTGCTTTGGACATGACCGACTGGGAGGAGACCCCGGAGAAGACCCAGGACACGCTGGAGAGACTGTGTCTCTCTGTTGGTCTGGGAACATCTTGGAGTCCTCCCAGAAGAGCTGGAAGAGGCTGTGGAGAGAGAAGTGTGGACCTCCCTGCTCAAGATACTGCCCCCGAGACCTGAGTCCAGAACAAGAGGAAGATGATGGCTGGATGGCTGCTTGGATGGATGGATGGATGGATGGCTGCATGGATGGATGGATGGATGGATGGACACATTTGTTTCTGACTCATGTAAATCGTAGCAGTATTTGATGACCATCAAACAGCAGGATGCTTCTGTTTAGTCGTGCTCCTGTTGCCAGAGCCACAACCGACCACCTGTGGTTCCAGCAGTATCTCCCTTCACATCCCCAGCAGGTGCAGCACTGTGTTTGTGTATATCCATTAGTGAATACGGTCCAGAGATCTGTTAACAGTTCATAGCATTGCATGTGAGAGATTAAAACCGAAGAGCAGATACTGGGATTAAAATAACAACAACTCAAAAAACCCATTCAAACACATGCAGAAAAAGATTATAATAAATGTCTGTACGTTTGAAAATGAACTTTGAAAAAGCCATTTAGCATATTGCATGGTCTGTGCGACTAATGTAATGCTGGGATTGTTGATGGCCGGGGATGTCACACAGCCACATACGGTGAGGATGAGCTGTGGAGTAATGCACAAAAACCCTACGCATTAACCTCCAGTCCTTCCCTTCCCATTTTAATCCTACAAATTCCATTATTGTACCTTGCAGGTCCATTTGCCTGCAAAGGAATTCTCTACGCTGCCAGCTTCTTTTTATCTCAGCTACTAGTGCTTGTTCATTGTACTGGTGTCTGGTGTTAATCCACCTGTGCTGAAGCACTTTAAATAAAGACACAGCTTTAAAGCATCCACTTTTAAAAGGCTACTGATTGCACAAAAGAGTGATCATCCCTTCAGATAGGTTTAAAGGTTTAAAACAAACAGATTAATGCACCAGTAAAGTGATAATGCAGGCTTTTACTGTAATTTAGTGTATACAGAAGCAACAAAAGTGGGGCATTCTGCACTTAAAACAATGTGGCATTACACACACCAAACACCGCTAAGGTCCACAAAGGCCAGCGAACTAATATTATACATGCATGCCACACGCATACAGGAAGCCTAATCTGGACTGTGTACGCATGCACACGTGTCCATTAGTGTTTTACACTTTAGAGCTTTCTGTTTCCTTTCTAAAAACTCCAGTAGTCCCAAGAATTTAAATTCTGAACCATTCAACAAATCTTTGTCCATCCCTAAATGTTATTTAATACCAAACAGGTTGGAAAGTCCTTGTTTGATCAGTGAAGTAGATGACAAATGTAAAATAATGTCCTTTTTAGTGCATCAAGTATTTTCCAGGATTCTGTCAGACGGTTGCGGTATCTAATGTAGCAGGTGACAAAATGTGTAAAACGTGTGCATGTGTCACGTACACACGTTTTACACGTGCTGGGGACTGCCTTGAAAGGAACCCAGTGTTTTCCACCTGAAAACGGTCTCACTGTTCCTTCAACTTTACTGTGGCCCGAACCTCAACGTGTCCCCCCACCCGTTACATCAGAGTGACCGGCTCGGCACCGTCATGCGTGCTGTTACTGTCGTTGGTGTTTCCGGTTACCATGGTGACGTAATTGGTAAACAAAGACACCACTTTTCTAATTAAAAGCACTGACAGAACTCTTCACAGCCTCTAACTGACACCGTGAGGTCACATGACCGAGAGCGGAGAGCTCTCTGAACAAAATACTGATTAACTTTTGGAGCCATGTTGGTTCAAGATGGCTGCCACAGCTACCTCAGAAAACTCTAAATTGACTCTAACTCAGTCATTCATTGGAATATTGATCTGAAAGCTGAAAGCTTAGTTTAGTGTATTTCTTAGTTCATATCTTAGATCTTATTACTGTTTGTTTTTTTACATTTGATACTTTTGTTGGATGTAACTGGGACCCTGCGTACACAATTTCATTCCACCACATGTACCACATATGATGTGAATGACAATAAAGACACCTTGATTCTTGAAATGTGGCTTGGTCATAGCTGAGAGTTTATACATTCTTGATACAAATTAAAAACCCAAGATGGCTGCCTTAGCTAAAAGAGAAAAAACATATAACTCGGCTATTTTTAAAGATATTGAGCTGAAGTTCGTGGTGGTAGCTGACAGCGATGCACAACACATTATGAATTCAAATCTAAAAATTCAAGATGGCCACCAAAGCTAATTTAAAGTAGATATAACTCAGATGTTTTTAGAGCTATTCAGCTGAAAGTTGGTGTTTTTGTAGCTGAGAACAATCTCTGGTTGACTGATTGCAAATCAAAAATCCAAGATGGCTGCCTGTGCTAAAAAGGAAAAATACCACAAAATCAGCCATTTTTAGAGATATTAAGCTGAAAATTTGTGTGGTAGCTGAGAGCATGCCCGGCACATAGTACGGTCCAATTAAAATTTTAAAATGGCTGCATCGTGACAGTCCCTGTCCGAGTTTCTCCTGGAACTTTCAGCTTGTACTACTGTTGTAAGCTTTCTTACAAGGGGACACCAGACTGAATTTATCTATCAAGAGCAGGTTGAACCGTATCTTTTAGGAAGTCAGGTGCACTTTGATTACCTGGTTTGTTCAATGTTATTATGTTTCATATTTGAACAACTGAAGGCTGAATCTGTTCAAAGCGTTTTTGATCTGGAGGAGATGTGCAGTCAGTGTTTCCTGACCAGCAGTGCACAACGAGGAGGGTCCTTTTCTGGAAGACCCTGTTCTGAAGATTCATTCTTCTTCTGCAGTTTCTGTTGAGTTCCTTTCTGTCCTCATCAGTTCTGTTCAGTGTAAGTGTTGGGAGAGCATTCATTGAAGAACTAAGAGTCAGGAAGAGCTAAAAGCTAAGGTATCCCAATGCATGCTCAGTAATCCAAGTAGAATAATTTAAAAAAGTTAAATCTCTGGACATTCAAAAAAACAAAAAGCCACTGGGACGTTGTGTTTAGAAAATAACCGTCTCAGTTTCTCTGATACTCCCGCAACATATGGAATGACCACCAGTCTGGGTCTGGGTTCCAAATCAGTTTATTATTACCTTTTGCCTCATTCATGATGTTAATATAAAATTAAGATTGAGCTAATTTTAATTCTTGTATAACTTTATTCCTTAAACTTTTAATGTGACCAATACACTGTATATAGGGCAACGTTGCTGGTCATGCATGTTAGTATCAGATACATAAAAAAGTTGTTTTGACATTATCTTTGTACAGCCATGCATCTCAATACATAATGTAAACCTAAGACATCCATCCGTCCGTCCGTCCATCCATCCATCCATCCATCCATCCATCCATCCATCCATCCATCCATCCATCCATCCATCCATCCATCATCTTCCTCTTGTTCTGTTCTCATGTCTTGGGGGCAGCATTTTGAGCAGGGAGGTCCAGACATCTCTCTCCACAGCCTCTTCCAGCTCTTCTGGGAGGACTCCAAGATGTTCCCAGACCAACAGAGAGACATAAACTCTCCAGTGTGTCCTGGGTCTTCCCCGGGGGTTTCCTCTGTCGGACATGCCCGAGGCACCTCCCTAGGGAGGTGCCCAGGGAGCATCCTTACCAGATGATGAACCTCCTCAACTGGTTCCTCTGGATGTGGAGGAGCAGCGGTTCTACTCTGAGTCTCTCCTGATAACTGAACTTCTCACCCTGTCTCTAAGGGAGAGTCCAGCTCTGCAGAGGAAACTCATTTCAACCTCCTGATCTCATTCCTTCAGTCTCTACCAGAGTTCATGACCAGAGGTGAGGGGAGGAACGTAGACCGACCAGTAAACAGAGAGCTTTGCCTTACAGCTCAGCTCCCTCTTCACCACAATGGACCGGCACAGAGTCCACAATACTGCAGACACTGCACCAATCCATCTGTCAATCTCATGCTCCATTCTTTCCTCCCTCGTGAACAAAACCCAGAGATACTTGAACTCCTCCACTTGATCCTCCACTTGAGGCAGAACATCACCCTCGACCTAAAGAAAGCAATTTTTATTTATTTATTTTTATTTATTTATTTTTTGCAACCCTTTTCCAACTTGCAAAAGTGAAATGGGGTTATAATAGTCAGATTGCACTTAGTAGATGTTTGCCTTGATATTAGGTTGGAACTTTATTTAACTGATTATGTTACAGTTCTGTAAATCTACCAACAAGAAGAAAAAAAATCCTCGAGTTGAAGTGTTATAGTGCTCTTCTTTTAGAGAACAATGACAGGAGTTCAGTTGGACAACTTTGGAATTCCTAATGGGTAACTTCATCGTTAACATAACAGTCATTTGAATGGCTGTCTGTATTGTTCAGTGCATAATACTTCTATGATAAAAACATTTTACATTATATTTGACTGTAGCCTTTCTTCTCAGTTGGTAGGAGAAGCCCAGGAGCTGTTCTCGGTGCGTCATGGGCCAGTGCGAGCTGCTCGAATTCTCCCAGCGCCTCATATCAGTGAGTAGCTCATTATATTTACTATAAGGATCTACTTAAATGGAAGCACAGACTCTATTACAACTTTATAAGGTCGTAAACCAGTAATGTTTCCCTGAGACTATGAGCAGACGATGAAGGTGAGTTTGACATTTGCATCTTTAATGTAATGTTAACAACCATATTTGAAATATACATTTATGAAGTGTAAATAAAATGCTCAGAAGATATTGTGTGTAACTGCAATTAAAGGATATAGGTGCCACTGAACAAAAGTATAAAACTTGAGCCGTATTCACGCGGGATTACTTTGTAGTTTTACCTAGGGACCACATGCTTTTGTAATAACTACAGAGATCGTCTTTGTTGTTAATCCCATGCGAATTGGTCATGTCCATAATTTGTAACGTAAAAATTCCCCTGCAAATTACCTACTATATTTTGCTAAACTCTGAGGTCCTGTGATAATACTAATCCAATGCAAATAGGCATCTTTGTGATTTGGACAGAAATGGGCAGGCTCCGATAAGTAATTAGACTCTTTTAGTTTTTTGTTTTTGTTTTCTCAGCAAAATCATTTAGAAAAATATAGAACAAGGCTTTTTTAAATGAATGCGCTGCTCGCTTCGGCTTTGGTAGATGCTGCTACTTCCTTCACCATAAATGACAGCAGGTGCAGAGATGCACGCAGCCGGTGATCAGCTGATCAATCCATCCATCCATCCATTATATTTACCCGCTTCTTCCTTTTCGGCTAGCGGGGGTCACTGGTGCCCATGTCCAACCATTTCTGTGCAAAAGGTGGGGGACACTCTGGACAGATCACAAGTCCATTTCAACTGGCGGGTCAACGGACGTGCGCGGACGGTGACAGGTTGGTCATCTGAGCTTAATGCAACTTGCAGCGCGTTAACGTCATATACGGAAGATGTCCATAAATTTCAACTAAATCTCAGGCTTTGATTATCCCGTGCGAATGCGCCACATAAAAAGCAGATATTGGGGAGTAATTTATTCATTACATGTGGTCCTTAGGTAAAACTAATCCCGTGCGAATAGGGCTTTAGTCAAATTTATTAAATGAATAAAGGTAGATTGCTTTTGAAGAGGTAGTATTCTTGTTCTTCGTGGCTTTTAAGGTTTACAAGTGAAACTAGTGTGTGTGGTAATTTTTGTCAAAAGGGAAAGTTTGTCCTTTACCTTGGTGGTGGGTGGGGTGTAGATAAAAGCATACCCACTGGAAAACCACAGTTGGGTTCGTCATTAACCGGTGACATTTTTTTTAACCAGCATTACACGACACAAAACCTGTCCGTAATCACCTTTTTCAGATTATTGGAAAATCAGCACCCATTCTCTTCAAGTTCACATTTTTTAGACACATTCTTCTTAATACATACATACATTCTCTATACAGCTCATACAGTTTTTATCTTCTCATACAGCTTTTAAACAAAAATAAAATAAGTCTATATATTTACATTCTCAGAGGTTTTGTTTTAGGGTAATTTCTAAATGCTTGCACTGGGAATAAGGTGAGTTGTTTTGGGGTGAGAGGAACTTTTTGGTTGACCTAATTTCAGCATTCCAACTCTTAAAATTAAATTTTTGATGGTGCTCTGTCTGTAGTTTGGGCTTGTGGGCACTTAAAATATTTCTGTATCACTTGTTTAAAGAACACTTCTTGGCACCTCATTCTAATTTAAAGTTAATGGGTAAGTGCTGTTGGCCTGCTCGCAGGTAGCAATGAGTGGCCGCTGCAGTTGGGACTGCAAGCTGTAATCGATTTCTCGCCGCCGGTCATCCAAGCCTCCCACCGAGCTCGGAGTGACACATTAATGCACGATTCATACTTATTTCAAGTGGCTGCAAATTGTTGTGCCCCCAGAAAGGGGGGGATAAAACAGGTCCCCCCACTCTGGGGGCACAATGGGGAGGGAAGGAGAGAACGAGGAGGGTAAACAAAGTTCCCCCCACTCCCCAGCGGACCAGTGAAACCTATTTTCATTGGTCAACTGTGACCAGTTTGGTAATTTCATTGGTCAGATTTGTTTTTTTAGTTTTATTTATTCAGGTAGTCTTATTGAGTCACGAGGACCCACCCCCCAAGAGATACGTGTATTGGGCAGCTACGTGAGCGCCCAGGTGTGACGAGGCTAACTGTTTTGATGGCATGAAGCTCGTTAGCCCGTTAAAAAAATAAATAACAGTAAAAAGCATAAATTAGCCGCAGCATTGTATAAGCTGTGGTGTTCAAAGTGTGTGGAAAAAGTAGCTGCTTATAGTCTGGATGTTACGGCACATCACTTTGGATCAACTCTTCTGTCTTTGAAACATGTCATCTATAGCTTTTTTTTAAACAAGTTGCTTGCTGTCTTTTGATTCCACACTCATCTGAGAATGGGTTCAATCTGACATAAATATAAACCTCTTTGAAAGTGAAAATACTACGTGTTATTGTTGTACTGCATGTGCTCATACAATGACCAAATTTCTTCTTTGCATTTGACCCCTCACACACGTGATATACACACAAGGACAACAATGGGCAGCTATTTAATTTAACTGCAAGAAGCAGTTAAAATGTAAGTGTCTTGATCAAGGACACCACGATATATGAGCAAAGTAGTGAAAAAAATCTGACACGGACAGGCGAATATCCAGCAGATGGTTGGCAGAAGATGATGCAGCAGAAGGTCCGGAGTTGGTTAAGTTCCACTGGAGACGGCCGAAACCACTTGCGCGGCCACGCGTGCAGCCGCTGCGCGTACCAGGCCCGGGCACCTGGAGCGAGCTGGAGTTGAGTGGGTCAACGAAGCATCCGGATGAACAGTTTAACATCTGATGGTCAGCAGCAGATGACAAAGCAGCAGAGAGCTTGATGCTGGCTTTAATCCTCACGAGACGGCCGGCACGTCTCCCACGGTGCCTGGAGCGATGTTTTCGGGCAGGCAGAAACATTGCGCGCTGCAGGTACACCGGGACATCAACAAGCAGAGGGGGTGGGGGTCCAGAGCCCTGATCAAAGTGGTCTAACAAGGCGGGGTTTGCAGTAGATAATTGTATATTTAAAAGTTGTTGGCGATCATAAACAAGCAGTGAGTTGATGTCACCAAAGAAAAATGACAAAAACAAAAAAAAACAATCAAAACAGACAGAGGTGAACGGCAAGCCACCAGCACCGGCGCCATCTTCCCAGAAGTCCAAGCGACAGGCACCGACAACCTTGCGGCCGCAGCTCTTGTAAGCTACCTCGACAATAGAGGCACGGAACATGGCCCACTCGGACTCAATGTCCCCCACCTACCCCTGGAACATGTTTCGAAGTTCTCCCGGAGGTGGGAGTTAAAGCTCCGTCTCACAAGAGACTCTGCCAGACGTTCCCATTAAACCCTCACAATACGTTTGGGCCTGCTAGGTCTGACCGGCATCCTCCCCCGCCATCGGAGCCAACTCACCACCAGGTAGTGATCAGTGGACAGCTCCGCCCCTCTCTTCACCCGAGTGTCCAAGACATGTGGCCACTCGGGTTCAGATCATGGGGGCCGTTCCTCCCAACCACACCCCTCCAGATATCACTGTCATTGCCCACGTGAGCATTGAAATCCCCCAGCAGAACAAGGGAGTCCCCAGGAGGTACACTTTCCAGTACCCCCTCCAAGGACTCCAAAAAGGGTGGATAATCTGAACTGCCATTTGGTGCATAAGCACAAACGACAGTCAGAACCCGTCCCCCCACACATAGGCGGAGGGAGGCCACCCTCTCATTCACTGGGGTGAACCCCAACGCACAGGCACCAAGATGGGGGCAATAAGTATGCCCACTCCTGCTCGGCACCTCTCACCAGGGGCATCTCCAGAGTGGAAGAGTGTCCAGCCCCTCTCAAGGAAACTGGTTCCATAGCCAGAGCCATGCGTAGAGGTGAGTCCAACTATCTGTAGCCGGAACCTCTCGACCTCACACACCAACTCAGGCTCCTTCCCCACCAGTGAGGTGACATTCCACATCCCAATAGCCAGCTTCTGTAGCCGAGGGTCAGACCGCCAGGGTCCCCGCCCTCGGCCACCACCCATCCCACATTACAACTGACCCCTTTAGCCCCTCCCACAGGTGGTGAGCCCATGGGAAGGGGGACCCATGTCTCCTCTTCGGGCTGTGCCCTGCCGAGCTCCATGGGTAAAAGCCCAGCCACCAGGTGCTTGCCCGCATGCCCCATCTCCAGGCCTGGCTCCAGAGTGGGGCTCTGGTGACCCACGTCCGGGCGAGGGAACATCAAGTCCATTTCTTTTTCTCATCATAGGGGTGTTTGGGTTGCACTTTGTCTGGTCCCTCACCTAGGACCTGTCTGCCTTAGGTGACCCTACTAGGGGCATGAAGCCCCTGACAGCATAGCTCCTAGGATCATTGGGACACTCAAACCCCTCCACCATGGTAAGGTGGCAGCCCAGGGAGGGGTCTGAGAAAACTTGATTCCTTAAAAATTCTGGTCAGTTCTTCTGGGGCAGATGTAATCTTCATTTCTGAAACATGGCTCAACAAATCAGTACTGAATAATGACCTGGTAATCAATGGATTTAACATCTACCACTGTAATAGTAAAAAAAAGTGGGGGTGGAGTCGCTATTTACATCAGAGATTCTCTGGTTGCTAGTCTTGTGTCTTCAAAAACAATTCCAAACCAAATTGATGCCTTAGCTGTAAACATCACTTTCAATGGAGGCCAGATCTTATATGTAGTGGGTTGTTATTGTCCCCCTTCAGCAGCACCTGAGGCTCTGTCCTCCCTGATAGAATTCCTTGGTAATTTAAAATTCAAAGAGATCTTTTTGGCAGGAGATTTCAACATTGATTGGGATAAGTCGACCCCCCTCTGTGATAAATTCAAGGAATGTTGCCTGTCATTCAATCTAACCCAACTCATTGACTCTCCCACTAGACTAAACAAAAACCTTCTTTAAAAAGTCCTCCATCTTAGACCTGTTTCTAACAAATATGCCTCACAAATTCCCTGGTACAGGTG